GGCGACAGAGTGAGACTCCAACTCAAAAAATAAATAAATAAATAATAAATAAATAAAGTCAAAGTCTCACTCTATTGCCCAGACTGGAGTGCAGTGGCGCGCTCATGGACCTGGAACTATAGGCACGCACCACCATGCCCAGTTAATTTTTAAAAAAAATTTATTGTAGAGATGAGGTCTCACCAAATTGCCCAGGTTGGTCTCGAACACATGGGCACAGGCAATCCTCTCACCTTGGCCTCCCAAATGCTGGGATTATAGGTGTGAGCCACCGCATCTGGCCTAGGCCTCTTACGGACATTCATTCACTGAATGCTTCAATTCGTTCACTGAAGACTCCTAGGAGGTAAGCACTATTTTTTTGCAGTCTGCATAAAGGGAGACCGGGTCATTACCAGGATGGATAACCTGTCCAAGGTCAATCCGTGGTAAAGGCAGAGCCAAGATTTATAGCCAGCTCCTGGGTCTTTCCCCACACTCTCAATTCCTGCTTGGTCTTAGAACATATTCTCTCTGCTTTTGCTAGACATGCCAGCCGCAGCATACAGTTACACCTAAGTGAATTCTCCAGCCAGGTGATTAGAGATCAACTGTGCTCACCAAAGCTTTCTTGAAGGCATCTCTAGTTAAAGAAACACTATCTTTAAATTGAGGTTAAGTGTGAAAATTTTCAACATAATCAGTGACTGTCAGAGGTTGTAAGACAGTTAAGCAGAGGTTTGCAGTTCCTGAAATATACCATGACCACCTTTTCGAAAGTAGATGTTTTGTCTCTAAACCAGATGCACAGTACTGCAGATGAACTTTTCAATTCAGTAGCAACTTGTATTTCTCCAGGGAGGCTCCCAGCAAGCAGATGAAAGAGAGCTTGCCTTACCTGGGGTGATTGTAGGCGATCTGCTTGAACTCGTTGTTCCAGTGAGGTCTCCCATAGAAGGTTTTCTGCTTTAAGCCTGTAATCACATCAGTACTTGCATCCCAATGTAGAGCTATATGAACTGCCTAAAGAAAACAACCATGGCATCAGGCGACATCCAGAAAAAAAGAATAGAAGTCTTCTATAAATCAAGGATGAAGTCATTATGCTCATCTGTAGACTTAGTACTTTTTCTTTTTTTTTTTTTATAGCTGGAAATGCCTATCATTATTCGCAGATATCATTGATTTTGCACTTTAGGGCAAGTGGTATATCTCATTTATCTTTGTATCAAGGCTTTATGGGAAAAAAGTGCTTCCTATACATGGTAGGTGAGGAATAATATTAAGTTAGAAAGCACATATATATATATTTTTTTCTTTTCTTTTTTAGCTGGGGTCTTACTCTGTCACCCAGGCTGGAGTGCAGTGGCACACTCATGACTCCCTGCAACCTTAACCTCCTGGGCTTAGGCGATCCTCTTGCTTCAGCCCCAAGAATAGCTAGGTTTACAGGAGCCACTACGCCTGGCTAGTTTTTTGTTTTTTGGTTTTTTTTTGGTATACACAAGGTTGCCTGTATTGCCAAGGCTAGTCTTGAACTCCTGGGCTCAAGCAATTCTCTGACTTTGGCCTCCTAAAGTGCTGGGATTACAGGCATGAGACCCCGCACGCATCCAGCGTGTTTTTCTTTAACAGGAGGAGAATAATACAGTAAATGTAGTTAAGAAAAAGCAAGCACTAAATGACTTTCTTTTTTTTCTGCCAAACTTCTCAAAAATTAATCTCTGCTTGCTATCCTCCCTTACTTTTTTGGGGGGGTTGGGGTATCACTCTGTCGCCCAGACTGGAGTGCAGTGGCCACTCCCGGCCACCGCAGCCTCGCCTGCTGGGCTCCGGTGATCCTTCCGCCTCGGCCTTTCCAGTAACTGGAATTACAGGCATGCACTACCACGCCCAGCTGATTTTTTGATTTATTGTAGAATGAGGTCTCGCCGCCCAAGCGGGTCTTGAACCCGTGGGCTCAGGCAATCCACTAACCTCAGCCTCCCAAAGGCACAGGATTATAGGCTGAGCCACCGAGCCTGGTTTATCCTCGCTTACTTAATATTAGACCCCAGGGATGTGAGAGGGGCACTGCCAGATTAAAGTGTTATGAAATGTCCAGGAAGAAACTGCATCTTATGATCAGATCTGCCCAGTGGACTGAAACGATTTGATGTTTACTATCCGGTCTCAATTACTGGGAGGATGTTGAGTCTGGCGGGCAGGACATAATGGCCAGAGCCTAGCAAGGGGCTTGACTGTAGCTCTGTGCCCAACTTTTTGCCTTCAAATCAAACAAATCCACCTAGGCATCACGTAACTTGTGGTCAATAAGTAGGAGCCCAGGGCATCTTCATCCCTTTTGATCATTTTTTAGGTTGCTGTCATTTGTTTTTGCTTCTGTTGTGTTCTGGCAGCTACTTTGCTTCTGCCTCCTGGGGTTTGTGTCCTCTGTGCTCACTCCTTAGACCAGGCATGTCCAAACCACGGACCATGGGCCTCATGTAGCCCAGGACAGCTAGTAACGCGGCCCCACAAAATCTTTTGACATCATGTACTTTTCAACATTTATTTTCTTGTGTGACCCCATGCATAGTTCTGTTTTTGAAGTTCACAGTTACACCTTATTCATTATATTTTTGGCAGCACATACATTTGTGAGCAGCTGTTTTCAATTATGAAGCACACGAAGAGCAAAATTCGAGCAAACATTTCTGACAAACATTTTGGGAACTCACAAAGTATTTTGACCATTTTCATCAAACGAGGCATGGATAGATTAGTTTTACAAAAACAAGGTCAAATTTCCCACTAGTTTCACATTGTTCTCATTTTTGAAATGTTATTAAAAATATAAAGAAGTCTTATTATGTATATACACTAACTATATTGTATAATTCATGTGGCCCAAGCCAATTCTTCTTTACTTGATGCGGCCCAGGGAAGCCAAAAGGTTACTCAGTGCAGCTCAGAGAAGCCAAAAGATTGAACACTCCTGCCTTAAGCCCACCAACAGCTCTTGAGCTCACCTTTTTTCCTCTTTGGTGCTCAGTTTGCTCTCACCCTCTGACTCTTCCTGATCCTGACCAGTCTGGGTAATAACCCTGCTGGGTACAACTCCTGTCCCAGGTTCCTGCTGCCAGCCTGACTTCCTGGCTGACCCTCTCTCGAGTCTAAGAAAGCAGATGAGGCTAGGGTGGATCAGCTGAAAATAATGGATGTGCCCTAATAGCCCAGGAGACAATGGTAGACTGGATGTCAGAAGTCCAGGCCCAGGAGGTTGCCAGCAGGCAAGTCTAACCCCAGGTGTTGAGACTACTATTGGAAAAGAGTTTGGGAATAGGACTCCAGGCAAAGAGAGGGTGGGAAAAAAAGGCAGAGGGTGGTAAGGGACATGTCAGGGACGGGGGATAGTTTGAGCAGAAACACGGGCATATGAAAGTGATGGGCAAACATGCATTGCTTGGAGGCTCTGGTGTCAGAGGAAAATGATGGGGTGGGTGGGGCTCGAGTTGGGAAGGGCCTTAAAGTGCTTGCTAAGAAGTTTGGGCATTGTCTCATACACAAAAACGACCCACCCTACTTACATTTGTGGTACCGCCAATCACTGATGTTCAAACATTTGGAATTACATTTGTTCCATATTTCTCAGTCCAATGTTCAATTAATCTCCAAATTCTGTTGATTTGCCCTTCATAATACCTCTTCCATCTGTTCCTTCTGTATTTGTCATTTTGCCACTTTGAGGTTGTTGAATTCAGTTGATCAACTGGCTATTTCTAAAACAGCCTCTTGATTCTTTACTGACAGAATGAGCCAATTATTTTTTCCTTAAATGTGGAGATTAGTGATTTCCTGTCTGAAATTAGGGAGTCTAAATAATTTTCAACATGCCATAGCAAAAACTTAAGAAGATATCTATTTTAATGTACTTGTATTTAGAACATAATATCCATCTTATGGAATGTTCCTGGAAGTGGCAGGGATGGGGAGGGACAGGGTTCTGTAGCCACAAAGTCAACTTCAGTACACAGTCATGAGAACCTCAGTCTATGACTTCCAAATGGCAGAGAAGTTCTAGGTGGATACTTGGAATCTATTCGTTTTAGAAGTAGAAGAATAGCATAGTACTAGAAAGCAAAAGACAAAAACTGTGTCTGGACTCTGCCAAATGGACCATCAGTCAAAAATCCCACTTGAATAAGGGAGATGTTTGTTTGGAAAACATAATTAATGCTATATAATTCATTAAGATGTTTCAAGCCTAGTTCCCAAGAAACCTACATTTCAAGTTATCCCAGAGGATTAAATATTTAAGGAGAGCTGCAAATAAGACCATAAAAATTTACTCAGCTACTGAATTTCTAGCAAACTCTTGCTCATTTGCAGAGTCAAATTACAGTGATGTTTTATAGAGCCTGTGTGTGTGTGTATGTGTGTGCACGAGAGAGAGAGGGAGAGAGAGAGAGAGAGAGAGAGAGAGAGAGAGAGAGAGAGAGAGAGACAGCATTCATTTGTAAATTTAGTGATTAATGCAAATCTCCTAGGCTCAAACATATTTTCCTTAAAAGTATATATCAATAACAGCTGGTACGTGCGTGCTGACTAGAATATACATTGTGTAACCTAGTAATCACATCATTGTTAATTCCCACATTTGAAGAGTTAAAAGGGATTAAAATGTAATGACCATCATTCAATATGATTAATATCAAAATATGACTATTGTCAATATTTTGGTATACATTATTTTTGGTAAGCTCTGTCTTAATATTTCATTAATACAATACACTGCAGAACACCTGTAAAAACATCATCTTGATCATAGGTAAATAAGCATACATGCACACAATTTCTAAGAGCACCTTAAGGAAAAAAATTTCTACACAAATCATGTATTCATAATAATTATTTTCTACAGGTGCTCACGTACTTTGTATTACAAAATGTTGAATGTAAACACCTAGGAATCTTTTATGCTTAACTCTGCACAGCTAGAGGCACAGAATTAGAAACAATTAGGAACTCAACAAAATGATACAGTCAATCAGTAACATTTGTTTGATGTCACTCTTAAGAGACAAACACAAATTTGTTTGGGATTTCTAGTCTTTAGATTGTCTTCTGTTGCCCATCCTTTCCTATTCCTCAGCAAGTTAACTGTAGGCTCTTTTATTGTTACAGCTTGAATAGCGCTGGTTAATCCGGTTTTAGTTTATTCTTCTTTCCTTTTTAAGAACATAAAAATAATTCTCTCATGCTACCACATAGCTATAAAGATCATTGAAACTGTCCCTCTTCTCTTTGCTCTGTATTAGATAAGTTAGGTAATATTACTCAATCTTAGAGTCTTATCAATACCTGATTTTCATCCCAGCCAGTGAGAAATATATGATAACTCAGAAAGTGAGTTTTCCCTTGCTCACTCATCCGTGTTTCCAGTAAGAGTAAGAGATCAGCAAACCACTCAAAAGCTGTTGCATCTCGGCAAATCCAGTAGAAATACACCTGTCAGGAGAGAAGTAGAGAGAACTGATCTGTTTCTCTTTTCATAATATGCTGATAATCGCAGACTACTTTATTTCCATTAAATTATTTGAGCCAAATGGGCACTTCTGCATAATAACGTGCTTTGTTTTTTTCTGCCAGCAAACAAATAGTCACATTGTGATTTCTTTTGAAAAAAAAAAATTCACATTGTGTTTGAAAAAGCTCAGAGTGAATTCAGAGAATCGGGAACCTGTGGGCCGTGCCAGTTTCCCTGGATGAGGATCAACTCACCACATTTCTGGCTGTGCTGCTTTGGAACAAGATTAATAATCATAACTAGCTGTGCCTTTCACTGCTCCCCAAGGGGGATAAACCGCTAGAACAACCCCTTCATCTTTACTTATGACCTAAGCTCTGGATTTGAACTCTCTTCTCCAGAGACCCCAAAGGCTTGGGCACTAATCCACTTCGCTAGCCCCAGCCACTGGGGAGTGGAGATTATGGTAATTTCAGAATCAAGTCACACAGGCCAGAAATTTCCTCTCAGTGAGACATATCGGTGTCCAAGAAAGCTGGTGGGTGGTGGCTGTGCGTGTGTGTCAACTGCTATAATGAAATTATGACTAGGAAGAATTAAAAAAAAAACTGTGCTGAGCAAATGGTGTGTGACAAGAAGTAGTTTGGGCTTGCTAAAATAAAGCCTTCATTTTTGTGCTTTGAGTTTCAAATAATTGTATCTAGAAGAAACCACAGGAGGTAAATCTATTAATTCTCTCCATTTTTCTCACACTCTAACCCTTTTCTGCCCATATCCCTCTCCTGTACCTTCTCCCCTGAGAGACATCTCTACAGCTTAACCATGTCTGTGAGGGTCTGGTCTCGATTCCAGGCGCTGTCTACTGCATCCCCTCCTGGAAATACCTCTCCTGGTCAGTGTTCTCTTTCCTCCCTCTCTGCCAGGCAGCTTGCAAGCTCACAGTCTTATAATCAGAGTTATAAATGATAGTTAATTAATAGATCAAATTCATAAGGAAAAAAATCAGAGAATGTATTTCAAGGCTAAACATCTTGTCTGTTCTCTTCAGATTTATGCAGGAATTTATAATATTAACAGTCTGGAAGACTAAAAGCTGGTGAGAATAAGACTTTTTCTCTGAAGAATTAGAGCCTACCTATTTGTTGGACAGCTCCTTTTCAGAAGGTCACTAAGGTATTAATTCCAAGACATATAATCCCTCAGCCCCTAAGCACAATGACCTTCTCAGGAAGAAAGGAGGGTGCCTTCTTTTTTCTGACTCTCATCTCTTCCTGGAGATTACCAAAGTCCTTCCTGGCAGCATGCATGTGACACAGAGCTGAGTCAGAGGTAACCTCGGGTGAACACGCCATGAGTCCCCACGAATAGGGGAGTTGTGCTCATCCATTTATCCACTGATTTAACTAATATGTATTGAACGCCTACGATATGGTATGACTGTTCTATGCTCTGGATCTGTAGAAGTGAACAAGAAAGGCAAAAAATAAAAAATAAAATCCCTGTCTTCATGGAGTTTGCATTTTAGAGAGAGAGGAAAGGTGATAAATAAGTAGGATGCAGAACAAAAAGTGCTATGCAGAAACATAAGGCAGGCTGGGAAGGGTGACAATATCAAGTTGAATGGTCAAGGAAGGTCTCACTGAGAAGGGGACGTTTGAGCAAAGACCTGGGGGAGGTGACAGGGTCAGATGGTCAGGGGAAGAGTTATACAGATGGTGGGAACAAAAAGTGTTGGGACCCTGAGTGGGACCTCTTAAGAAGGAGCCAGGAGGTCAGTGTGGTTGAAGCCCCATGAGGAGAGTGAGGGGGCAGCAGGAGATGACATGAAGGGGAAGGCTGGGGAAGTCTGAATGTTGCAGGGCTTTGTGGCCATTGTTGACTTTGACTCATTGAGGCAGGAAGGCATTGGAGTGTGGCAAGCCGATGAGTTCCACGATCTGAAGCATATGGAAGAGTCCCTCTGGCAGCTGTATTGGGATTAGACAGGGCAGTGTGGGGGAAAAGGAAGGAAGAAAGGGGACAGTGAGGAAGTGCATTTTATATTCTAGGTTGGTGCTGAATACTGCCATCTTCTTTCCTTTCACTTTGTGGAGTGCCCAATCTGAATGATTCCTGGAAAACCTCAGCTCTCACTTTGACTTGCTTTGCTCCAGTAAAAATGGAAAATCTACTGAGCAAATTGAATGCAGGGCTCACCTTTTCACCTCCCGCTCTTTCCTGCCCTTGGTGTGTTGTTTTTATCTTAGAGCATTAAGGGTGGCATTTGACATAGAGCAAACATTATTGATTTATCTTCTATATTTCCCACCCTTTAAGGCATATTTTAAAAATACATTCATTTAAGGCATAACAAACCAGAGTGTATGCTTTAAAAATTTTTTTTTTTCAATTTCAAATCTAGTCCCCATCATCCTTTCTGGAAAACTACCCACACATGAACTTTTATCCTTTCAAAGAGAAACCTTTCCTGTCCTTACTTTCTCTTGGCCTACCTAGCTACGTGTCAGTGTTCTTAGGATTTGCCAAGCCTTTTATACTTTTTGCTTCCTTATAATGGCTTTGTGTGTTTTTCCCTTCGTAATTGACTTATGGGTGACACTGGGCAGCTTTGGTACAAGAGGCTATGGAGGGAAAATGGATAGGTTCAGTAGAAGTGCTTCAGGCAGAAAAAGAAAAAAAGAGACTTTGAACGGAAGAAAACGGTATTTACTTTGACTCTCTTTCATCTTTCTAATGGCAGGGGACGCTCACTGTGAAGAGACATAAGAGTTCCACCTCTGCATTTCACCCAGTAGAAAGGACCTGGTCAATGATGGAGCAAGTATCCCAAACAATAGGCTGCAACTGTGTGATCTTGATTTCCAGCACTCACCCTGGCTTGGTCTCCAAAAATAAAACAACCCGAAAACCAGTTACTTATCTAAAGCGTGGCTTTCAGAATTCTGTAGGCTGATATCAGAGGACAAAAATACTTATGGTTACTTTAAAAGATTTTATTAAACAGAAGGTCATTCTCAGAAAAATAACAAAAGTTCTGAATGTTCATAGTAATAAAGTGTGTGTGTGTGTGTGTGTGTGTGTGTGTGTGTGTGTGTGTGTGTGTGTTTACAGGACTCATCCCACACATTCTTATAGAAATAGTGGATGCCCAGATATTTTAGGAGACCACTCTAGGACTGTGTCATGGGGTTGGGGGTTTCTGTGTTTTGGTGACCTGGCACAGACTTTTGCTGTCACATGGTTCCTAGACATTAACGATGAGATCAAACTTAGCCTCGCCCATGCATGGAGGTCTCGAAACTGAGTGGCACGCTCAATATCAGGGTCTCTGTGAGAACATCCCACTCTCACGTTCCCCGAAGCCTGGGCTTCTGTTTAAGAATTCTTCAGTAGCATACATAGACCAGGTCAACATGGTCTGGGGCTGGTAGGAAACGGACTTGTGCTATATTTTGATGAAGAATTTTAGAAAGTGAATTAAGTAGAACTACCATTCAGTGTTACCACCAGAGCCTGTGGACTCTCTCATTAGAGCTGGATACTTTCAGGCTATTGCCTCTCCAAAGCCTATGCTGGACCATGAATAGATATCCACAGACACATGCATAGGACACTTCCACAAATGTAACCTGAATTTCTTTAGCTACAAAATCAACTTCCAGAGAATGAAACAGGAAAAAAGTTATTTATCCATGTCAGTATTTATGGCCCAGAACCCCTCAAAAGAAGGCCAGCATACATCAGGAGGAGGGTTTAGGAGTTTAGGATGCAGCATAGCATAGTACAGAATTAAACGTTGGGAGACTACGAGTTGGTCCCTGTTCTGGACTTCTGGCTTCACCATGTAGGAGCTGTGTAGCTGGACACAGATTATTTAACTTGAGCCTACATTACTGCATATGTAAAATGGCAATAAACATGAACAACAACTCATGAGATTATTGCGAGGGTGAAAGGCTATGGTTTATTGAAGCATTTAGCACAATGTCTGAAAGACACATTAAGTACTCAGATGTGAGCTGCTATTGTTACTGCCCTCGTTTGTCATTTGGAGGAGCTTACAGAATGAATGCAATATGTTTATAATATAAAGCAGGGGGCATTCATCTTGCTTGGTAAGTATTCCCATTGGTCACTGCTGGTCACTGGGAGGAGGTGAAGCCAAACTTTATCTCTACTGCCAGTCAGAACCAGGATCTCAGCATTGATCATGAAGACATAGTCCATAACAAGGAAGGCCTTTGGTGTGTGCTAAACCCAGATGGAGGCGTTTTACAGGAAGCTAGGGGACTGCCTTGACCTACGCCTCCCACAAGGAGAAGGCTGGTGAGTTACGGTATCCTTTACATTGTGCAAAAGAGAGAACAGTAAGGACAGATGCTTGAAACCAGAAGGGTGACAGAGATTCTGCACAGAGGGAAAACCAGAACTGTCTTCCAGAAATAAAACTCTCTCAGAAAAGATAAAGACGTAACTGATATTCAGAAAATATACTGGCTCTTCAATAAATGGTTACTATTATTGTCCTGTTTTAATTTTGTTGTTGTCAAGGTAATCTTGGATGAATACAATAGCGTACAAGAAGAAATATAAGAAGTAGTTCTTCTTATTGATAAACCTCCCTAATGTGTAAAACTTCTAATTTTCAAGAGGTAAAATTATAAAATTGTTTTTATGGTGCACCCTTGTAAGACTGAGACCATCACTGTTCAACCCTAAGCTTCTTCCTAAAGTCTTTATCCTTAATATTGACTACTTCATGGCTATGTTGCTGCTTTGCCCTGTGGCCAAGAACTGACCTTTTTTGTGTCTTTATTTGTTCTAATAACAATGAATAATTATTGTTGGACAACTGAAACATTCATTAATAGCATAATGGTTCAATAAATTGTGGACTGTCCACACTATGGAATACTCTGAAGGCACCAAATAAAGTGAAACAGATCATTAGGTATTGACACTGAAGGTGCTTGAAGTCATG